AGGCGGGGGGGGGCGGCGGTCCGCTGCGCGCATGCGCGCCCAAGGCGGGACGTCCTTGGCCCCGACTATCCAGCCGGGGGGGGCGGACCGCCAGTGCGCATGCGTGCGGCGGCGGGCGCCGTGCAGCGCCGAGCACCCTCGGCCTGACGGCCTGTGGGGGGGAGGTCGCCTATATGCAGTATGTGTCACCCCCCCCGGCCGCTGTGACTGGACGTTTTTCTCTCCGATTTCTTCAAAGAATCACCGTTTGAGGGCAAAATTGGACTCGTAGGCTTCCCCTCGGAAGGCGCGGGGCCTGCTGACGGGGAGGCCTCTGCCTCACGCTCCCCAGGCAGAGCCAGCAGCCGTGAGGGTGGGCTACGGGCCGCGGCCTGCACGAAGCCACCGCGTTACTGCGTCCCCCTGGGGAGCAGGCACCCGAGGGACAGTCCTGCCTCCATCCCGCTCGAGTCTTCCTCGCCAGCAGCGTCGCAGTGGCAGCACGTCTACCTGCACCTGCGATAACCCAATACAGATCCAGTGGGGTTTACTTCAGGCCTTCCGTGAAGGGTTTTTGCTTTACGTCTACACACGGTTTCGTGGTGATGCTTCGTTACAGTCCCTCGTTGCTTCAGGGAGTCTCAGGAGGGTGATTGGCACCCAAGTCAAGATCCTGTTCTGTGGCCGTTTACTAAATTTGGTCAACCTAGGCTTCAACATCAGCCGTGAAGTTAGACAAATTGTCTTAGATGGAAATACTACTGCATGAGACTCATTCAGAATTTCCCACTGCCTGTTGGGAAAAATAGATACCCAGTAGCTTTAAAAATTAGATGCAAAATAGCAAACCTTGCAGTGTGTGAGCTGAGGATACATTTAAAACATAAAAAAGCTGAAGGGTGACAAACAAATCAGGATAGCTCGGGCACGCTTCTGCATCCTGGTTTTCTCTTGTAGCATGAACACCATCTAGTGGGACATGGGCAGCAAGCACGTAAGGGGTTGTGTACGCTGATAAGTACAATAAAATACAGCTGCCCACATGTCTAGGTGTGTTTCTACTTTTTTTTTTTTTCATTTCCTTCTGCTTCTGTGCTGAAATACTGGGGACTTAGAAAAGCTTGGGGTTTGTGTGTAGTCCTCTGTTTCCTAACAGCCGGGTTTTACATACTAAAAGAAATTAGTCAGTGCCAATGGCTCTGCTATTCAAATAAAAGTATGTGTACATCTGTAGCTACAAAATCATAAGAGCTGATCTTTTTCTAAAACTTCCATCTCCCTCCATGTTTTCCCCTTAATATAACTAATATGTCATCTACCCAGGAATAAAAATGAAATGAAGAAAAGCATTTTTTCTTGGGTACATACTTATAGGGGTGCAATGCTGATTATAGTGACCTTAACCCTTGAGAAAACTGAAAAGCATTGCCTTCCTTGTGCTTTTATCTCAGGATAGCTGATAGATGACAGTTACCCAGAAGTGACAAAAAAGTTAGGTACTGTGTTGTGGTTTTTTAGCCCTGTCAACTAGATGGGACTCTGCCTGTTGTCATACCCAGGAGGTTGTATACTTCAGCAGTTCCCACACACGCTTTATCAGTGAGAGCTGCTAATTCAGTGGCAGTTTTGCAGTCGATTTCGGTGGAACTGATGTTTAGTAACTTGTCACTGCAGTGTAGCTAGCACGTTTGTCCACTGGATGGTGCATCACTTATTTCTGCAGCCCTGGGGGAGCCTAAATAGTGTTAGTCATACTGGCCATATGACATTGGCAAACAGTGTATCTCCAGATGCTAATGCAGGGAGAAAAGGTCTATAGACAAGGCAGTTATCTGACAATTTTTTAAAGAAACATCACATATAATGACATGCAACGTAAATATAGGCTGAAAGTGGGAAATTCTTTCCCAGATCTGAGCTTTCTTGAAATACAGGCATGCCTGGCTCTCTAGTATATACTAGAGATGTGAGTCTAGCCATTATTTCTGGATACAGTTCTGAAAATCCAGTTACATTTGCAGCTCTCTGAGGAGGAGGGGCCATGATGCAGTTTTTTTCTCTTGGCTTTGATTTCTGTTCAGACACTGCTAGAGAGACTGGATAGCTTTGCGCAGCAACTACAGTCAGTGCTCACTGCAGTGCAAAGACCTTGAGAACCAGTTTGGACCTCAGAGCTACACTTAATCTGATTTTGCAGGCCCTTGATTTCTGAGGGTGCTAAAGTATTTTTTCTGATGGAACATAGTCCTAACATACCAATTTCCTTTGCCAGGCAGATGGATTTAAAAGAGGCAGTGCTGTTTAAGGTGTTCACTATGCAATGAGAAGTTTGACGGTCAATATTGCAGATGCTTAAGAGCAAGTTAGCAAATTTATGCCAACCAGAAATGGTTAAATTCAGCTTGCTTTGTTCACAGTATTTTTAGCGCTGTGCACCGGTCGCAGGTTCCTCATTCCTCCTGAACTTAAACAAATCAGGTGAATATTTTCCTGCCCACATTTTTGCTAAGTGTGTGGAGCAGACCTTAGACTTGTTTTAATATGCACAGCGCTGGTTTTGCCATGCTAAAAACATTACCAGACATGTCAGGACTTTCATTCTTCTGCAAGTCCTGCTGGTTTGGAACCCATTTCCACAGCAAACAATATTGCCAAGATAAATTGTTTGCCAGAGATAACTTCAAGTCCTCAAACAAATTACCTAAGAAATGTTGAAACATAATGCTGCATGAAGCAAATTGTTTCCATGCTTCCCGTCCTCGTAGGAAGGAACGGAGCTTATCTCTGTTACAAATTCCATAGGGACAGCCACAATACCTTCACCGATGCGTTGGTTAGACTATGGGAGTTTTTGAATACTTCACATATCAGAGGAGCATATGAAATATTCATGCCCCGTTTATCCTCCGCTCAGAAATGCAAACACTGAAATTCAGATGATTTGTATAAGGACTCCAACAGTTTGGCAAAGGGCAGTAAAGCTGCTGGTGGATTGCATTAGGAAAAAAAGGAAGAGTTTACAAGAATCTCTCATTTGCCATAGGCCCTTACATCTCAAGCAGACTAGAGCTGCTGAGGGTTTAATTATGGGCATGTTTGTAAAGTCCCAAAGGTTTGTCATGTGTGTGGATCTCTCCCCATTGAATATTGCTTTGTGTCAATACTGTGTTTAAATTTTAACTAAAAATAAATGCAGTTTTTCATAATTCATTCCCTTTGCAGCCTTTCTCTGGACTGAACCATATCTGCTGTGCTGCAGGTGCAGGGTGATAACATTGTGACACATCTCCTATTTTTAGACCGTTTTCAGTCCCTCCACGACACAATCTGAAGTAAGAAAACAACCTCATTATCTCTCTGGCTCTCTGCCTACTGTCTGCGGTTAACTTTAAGACGTACCCCTTGAATATTAACTGAAGCAATGGCCATTTACAGAAATAAATTTCTGAGCCTCATTTTCTTAATCTCTGGTGCCTTCTGCTTTTTAGTCCCTGCCCTTCTGCTTTTGATTTGATGTGGTCCATGGATAGCAATAAAGCAATACAGAACAGTTGTGCCCGGTCTCAGAAAAGGGGAACTGTGTAAAAATAAGGAAGCTTTTTAAGAACGTAAAAGGAACATCTAAGACACTAAAAGCTTTTGAAGGATAGACAGAAACATGATCATAGAGGCAGAGTAAGTGCGCATCAGTATCAAAAAAGACTAGATAAAGGCCAAGAAGAAGCAGCAGAGCCAAGGAGTTATTAAAAGCAAGTTGCATTCAAAGAAGAAAACCGAAAGAACCATAGGCACTGATCCGTTAAACACAAACCACAGCAGAGGTGGCTCTAAAACCAAATTGAGGGACAACTGAGACGAGGCATAAAAATGTACAAGAAATGTTTCTTCAAGTAACAGGAAGTCCGCTGAGAAAGTCTGTAGAGCTAACAGGGAGTCAAAACACTCAGAAAACAAAAGCAAGCATGGGTTCCGAGAGCCCCATCATTCTCCAAAGTGAGGTCAGCTACACTTCAACCACTCCTGAGAGGCTGGGTTTATTTTAGTGTAGGGAAATGAGACTAAATGCTTGCTAATTGCAAAAGGAATAAAAAGATCTATCGTGCAGCCAGCCAAAAAAAAGCCTTCAAAAATACAGCTTGTAGAAATGGTACCTACAAGAGGTGCTGAAGGGCTGCCGGCTGCGATTATTTTTTTAGTTTTTTTTTGGTACATTGGGTGAAATGGGCTGCCAAGCCTTTTCCCTGCCCGTTGGCCAGAGCCGGCAGCAGGAGCAAGCGAAGGACCCCCGTACGCTGAGAGCCCAATAAAAATCTACAACTGGAATTGGGATCTGAATCAAAGAGCTGGGAGCATCCCCAACCTTCAGCCTTGGGGAAGAGCCGCTGATATTGCCCTCATACCCGCCAATAGCCCGAGGGGGGGGAGACCCCAAACCCACCTTTCCCGCACCACAACACTTAACCCGGAGGATTTCCTAGAAATTTGGCCGTGCCTTTCCAGTGGGAACTGCCTGACCTTCCCTTTGAG